ACACTCTTTGATACCCTTTGTTTACTGGTTGAGCCCTATTTCCTTTACTTTCATATGCGTGGTATTTAGTACTTACAGATGGGAATTTAGAATGATGTTTGTATTTTCTGATTTTGCACACATGTGTCTAGGGAGTAGACACAGAGAGATTTCATTACACCTCTCTTAATGACTAGATATTTATTAGCTAGATTAATTAACACATTTATATATTCTTAGCTGCATATTTATGTGTTGTCAATGATTTAGTAATTTCATGGGAGACATCAGAATCATTCATTAAGGTGCATCATTACTCTCTTGGAAAACAAAAATAATTCTAAACTGCTACTCTTGGAAAACCATGCTAAATTAGAGCACATGCATCATAAGAGTTAGGGGCAACTAGCAAATTAGGAGCTACACAGTTTATTTCTGTGTCACCCCTAAAATTTCCACATCATGTGTGGAAGGAATGACATTGGATATCTCAAAACTCTCAGCTCTCAAAATCATGGACCATGGTAATAAATCTGCACTTTTAAGAGGCAAAAAGAAAACGGGCACCATTAGGACCATAATTGTGGACCTCAGCAAAAGATAGCCTGGCTGAACTGACACAACAGAGTCCAATGCAAACCCTGGTTTTATTCCCACGTGAATTCATTATACATCAGACAGAGTTTCCGTAACTCATAACACTCTCAAATCTTTCACTTAGAGAGCAGGAGCCAGGATTATTTCTGACCTATTGACTGACAGATATCCACCCTGGACTGACTATAATTCATTAAAACCATTGTGTGTGTTTTTCTGTATGTCATCACTTTATTGAGCCCCACATGTTCATTGCTAGTTCTGAGGCTAGGAGGTTAAACTGATGATATTGCAGAATTTATCCAACCTTCCTGAAAGTTATTCTCCGCGACCTCAGGCTTGACTCTTGGAGGTGAACCTCAGGCAGGGGCATTTTCAGCACATTCTGCCTTCGAGAAGCAGCAGCAGCAACCTGCTAGCATGGGATCTCGGAGCATCATGAATTCCATCCGCTTACCCGCTGTTGCCAACAGGCAGGTTTTGATGTGTCTGTTAGCAGAGCTCCCTGGAAGCTGCCTTCACTTCTCATTTTTGTCACGGTGAAGTGAGTGATATTCTCAGCACCATCCACCCTCTGAGGTGTGGGGTGTGAGCGCTGGACCAGCCGGCGTGGTACATGCGGGTATCCTTGGGAAGCAGGCCTATGTATCTGTGAGGTGCGGCTGGGCTTCCTCAGTCTCATTCTCCTGATCGCCCCGGATTGCAGCCTGAGTCCCCCTCTTCTGTGGCTCCCTTTAGGGTGACGTTGGTGCATGGAGATAATGACACAGAATTTTTTTTCCCTAAAAATCATTGTTGCTCAAAGATGTACTAAGCATTTTTAAGACCTCATCATATAAATGATTATCCCGATACATCTATTCTTTTCTTGTTCAACAGAATCCTTAGACATCATCCAGCCCTCAACAAACTCAGAATGTTCAAAGGATTTCTGTTATCCATCAGCTCGGCAACAAGCATTTTGAAGTTCTTACTCTGCAAAGCTTGTGCATGAGTCTATCCAAGCCTGTTCCGGAGATGCAAGGCCAAGGTGGATTACACTGTGCTTTCTTCTGATTATATTCTCCTGTCCCCCCATGAAGAAAGACTAGGTTAAAATTAACTGCTAGTTAAAAGTGTAGTATAGAGACCATGTGCAGCCTGCTGTGAAGGAGACGGTGGAGGAGGGCTCGCCTGTAAAACTTGACACGTGGCTTTGGGCTTTATGGAGAATAAAGGAAGGGTGGTTTCAGATTGATCCATAAAACTTGAGCGGTCAGTGCCCCGAGGAGTCTCTGCCTTTCCCTTCACTGTGTGGTGTCTGGGTCATGGTCAGGGACTCAGCAGCAACTCCCCCAAGTAGTGGGGAAGCAAGGGAGGTGGGCACAGAACCTGCTTGGGCACCGGGTCAGGATGGGAAGCCATGCCAGTCAAGGCCACAGCAACACACAGGGCTCCAGGCTCCGGGGGACTGGATGCGGGAGGTGAGGCTGGCATGGGGACAAGGAGGTGGCCCTGCAAGGACGGATCCAGGTCTGTTTCTTCTGCCCCTGGGTCCCAAGGTTCTCACAGCAGACCCTCAACTTATAGACTCCACTGTGATCCTTCTGGCCAGTCCTAGTGAAGGCTGCAGTGCATCCACAGCCGCTGCCTCTGTAGAGCATTGTCACCGTTACAGACCTGGACCAGCGGCCCCCCACACCTGCTGGGCTCCTATTGCTGCTCTTTTCCCACCGCTCAGGCTCAGGTTGGTTGTTTCTCCAGCACAGTGTGCACTGGGACTTTTCCAAGCTTATCTCTTGCCTACTCCCTTCCTTTTTACGACTAGCATCCCGCTATCACCAGCTCCCTCAGGGACTCACAGCTGTACCTGACTTTGGATTATCTTCCCTCCTCTCTCGGGTGGAAATGTTTACTTCTGGCATCAGCATGTTGATGCTGGGATCCTACACAGATCTGTCTCCACAGTACATGGCTCTCCGAATTTGGGGAGAGCAGTGTCCCTCAGGGGCCTCACTGGGAGCCTACTCGAGGGCAATTGTCATTTGCACCATGCCTAAGTACGGTAGTGGGCTGAACACCATCTGAAAGAGCTTGGCATTGTTCTTCACTTGTTTCTTGTGGTTGAAAAGAATCTGCTACAGCTCCATCATTTCCCACCCCTAACTCTGCTTCTCGGAAAACCACCATGGATTGTTCCTAAATATAATTATCAAATAACAAGACAGCCTGTGTATGTAGCAACCAGCCCATTGGCCAATCTCAACGGACTACCTCTGGTTTTAAGATCAGACTTTTCTAGGGATGTAGGTTAGTCATGAGTTTAATATGTAATCTCCACTTTGCAAAGACAGAAACCAACTCACAGAGCAGAGAGGGTACCTGAGTTACTCAAGGTCTCACTGCTAGCAAGAAGCCAGCCCTCCCTCTGCACCAGTGTGCTTTGCTGCTTCCCTGGAACTGGGAGACATGTGGGGTTTACAGAATATCCAGAGGCAAACTTGGGGGCACTTTTAGAACAATTTGCATAACAAATTACTCTTAAACTGGAAGTGCTGCTAAGTGGTTAATTTAGGCTTGAATACCTCCACCATGCACACCTGTGCACACACATGTGCAGGAGCACACACACAATCTGACACAGACATGGGCAAGTGCTTAACTATCAGCACGTGAATGATCAACTTAGGCAAGAGTGTTGGAATGAAAATCAAATGTTGCAAAATAGAGATCAGCACAGCACCTGGTGTATCGTAGATGTTCAGTAATGTGCTCTCCCTAATTTCTATTAATACACCACATGCCAGCCTTATGAATGAAGATTCCGTCTCCCCAAATCTCTCTGGGGATGCAGCAGCTCACCGTGAGGATGTGGGCCAGGCAGAATGCTGCCTCGTCGTTGTGCTCTTGCCTTTGGAATTCCCATGCTCCCCCCATGGGTAAAATGCATGCTTGACTTTTGTGTCTTTCAACATCACAGCCATGTTGGGGAGGAAAACAAAATAATTTGCAAGTTAAAGCCCTATGAAACTGAATATGTTAATGAAATGCTGGGAGGGTTCCTTAAAATCATATTCTGTTTCATAGTACTACCTCAGACATGCCTTAGAAATACACCATTTTAAAGTAGCTTTTATCAACAAGAAATAGCGTGTCTGATAAGGTCATGAAATTCTTTTCAAGTGCATAAGAATAATCTCTCTCTGTCTCTGTCTCTGTCTCTCTCTCTTCCCTGTCTCTTGTTGTCTATTGTTGTCTGCATGTCTCATCTGCCCTGGGCCAGCTTCAAGGGTGTGGTGTGTGTGGCCACGTAGGGTCCCTCACTTGGAAAGTGGAAGACCCTTGTGCTTTCTTTGCTGTCGCTATTTTGAAATTCTTAATAACTTATGAGCAAGGGGCCCTGCGTTTTCCTTTTGCCCTGGGACCCACAAAGCCTGTGGTTCTCCTGTAGTGAGAACTCGCTCATGCTGTAAAATTGATTCACTGGAGGGGCAACTTCTCCACAAGGGATAGAAACTCCCACGAAGGAGTTAGGTAGAGGAGAATCAGCACACTTCCAATAATGATGATCCTTACAGTTTCCAGATGCAGACCCTTCTATCCTGGTGAAGTGACTTAGTAAAAACTAAGTGAGATTTATTTGGGGGGGGAAACAGTGTCAGAAGCACGTGGCCCCGCCAGGAAGCAGAGCCATCCGCCACAGACAGCCACTTCTGGGAGCTGCTGCTAGGAGCCGTCTCCCACCTTCAGCCACCCGTGCCGGGCCCTGGATGGTGGAAAACAGTGACCCGGGGCTGTGCCTCTCTGCGCCCCTTGTCCTGGCAGCACTGCCTGTGCACCTCTGTCCAGCGAACTTCCACCACCAACGAGGGCTGCCTTGTTTCATTGCGACTCACTCCAGACAGCTTCATCACAATACTACATAATTCGTGTGCCCTGAAGCTACCCCTTTAAATCGCACAATTCAGTGGCATTTGAATCTTCACAGAGTTGTGGCACATCACACAACCATCACCACAGTCTGTGTTAGACATTTTTCAACACCCCCGAAAGAAATCTCATGCCCTTTACCCTCACTACCCTCCCCTCTCCCACCCCGGCAACCACCAATCTCCTTTCTGTCTCTGTCGATGCCCCTATTTTATGTATCTTGTTTACACGGAGTCGCACAACATGTGCCCTTCGGGGTTTGGTCTACTTCAGTAGCACAATGTCTTCAAGGTCCATCCACATTGTAGCACCCATCATAACTCCACTGTTGGTCAGGGCCATATAATATTTCATTTTATGGTGTGCAGCCCTGTGATTTTAATGGGTATCTCGAGACGCCTGTGGTGGGAACTAAACTGCTGATCCAGCAGTGTTGGGGGTTGGGCCCCAGTGTGAGGAGTCTGGAGTCGTGAAGAGATCTGTGTCACTGCATGGAGCTGGGGTCATCAGCATGGGAACATGTTCCTTATAAAGGTCGTGTTGGAGTGCCTTTCACCTCTCATGCTGTCTTACCTTCTGACACAGTCTCATGGGGCAGGAAGGCCATCGTGAGCTACTGACCCCGTTACCCTGGGCCTTCCAGCATTCAGAACCATGAACCCATACAGTTCTGTTCATTATGAACCCCCCAGTCCCAGCTATTCTATCAGAGTATCAAGAAATAGACTAGGACATTCCACATTTCACTTCTCCAGTCACCAGTTGATGGGCATTTAGGTTGACTCCAGATTAGGGTGATTATGAATAATGCTGTTACGAGCACTCATGTTTACAGTTTTGTGTGGGTACACGCTTTCATTTTCTTGTGTACATATCTACAAGTGGAATTTTCAGGTCAGGTGGTAAGCCAGTCATTTTTCTACAGAACCGCACCCCCTATCAGGATCACTCAAACCAAATGAGATCTTAAATATGACTATCCCTAAAGCTCCAAATTACATTTGTAAAATCTTTTATATTTAGATTCTAAAACCTTTATATTTAGATTCAAAACTTTTATATTTAGTTTCAAACCAGACTTACTGGAACAGCCATAGCATAAATGGTTTTATAATTAAGTAAACAAAACCCAGAATAGGTAACATCCTTCTGCCCTCTAGCACAGTGAGAGCAGATAATCCAGGAATTTTGCTCTCCTTCTGCCAAAAATTGCATTTGGCATTTGCTCCGAATCATACTATCTGCTGAGGCACTTTGGAAGGTCTGGCCCAGGAGATATTTGTAGAAAAACATGTCTCAAATGAACCAGGTTCCCATGCATGTGCCTAAGGCCCCAGAGTAGAAGGAGGAACCAATCACACAGAAAAAGCGCTGGAGGTGAGAGGTCACCTTGAATAGCACAAATGCTGCAAAGGCCCCTACTTCACAGCACACTCAAATTTCCTTGTTGTTTTGGGGAAAGGCACCTTCAAGTTCAGCAGCTATGTGAAGGCTTAAATTAGTGTCTCTCACCAGTCCCTGGGTCACACCTGGGCTGTGTCTGAGCAGCAGACCCTGCAGGACCTGGGGAGCCACATGGTGGGCCGAGGAACATCTTCCAGAGCCCTGAGCCATTCAAGGACCTCAATTTGCTGCCCCCAATTTGACTCCATCCTTGGCAAAATAAAGCTTATAAAGCCCAAAGAAACCACATCTAATAGACCCAGGGAAGTTGGGGGAGTGAGGGGGAAGACATGAATGCCTGAACCCCATTCTTCTCTTGAAGAATCAACCAATCTCACCTGGTCTTTCAATTCAGTGAAGGTCCACAAGCTTAATTAACTGGGGCCTATTCAAAAGCTGGGTGGCTTCATGGAGCAGTGGAAATCCAGTGTCAGATCAGAAATCACGAATAATTGAAAATAAAATTTAGAAGTATGCTAGTACTAGGTAGAGTGTATGCTTAGCATGCAAGAGGCCCGGGGTTGGGCTCAATTCGTAGCACCAGAAATAACAAACAAACAACCCTGGGCTCTTGGAAAACATCAGAAGCGGATCTGACTTATGTATTTTCTATTCTATGGAAAAAAGGCAAAACAAAACATCATTACAAAAGAGCGGGAGAATAACAATTGTTAATACATTGCATATTTTTATCTTTTAAAGTAGGTATTTGGAGTACAAGACATTGGCCTAATTTTCTCCAATGGATGTTAGCACAAACCTTCCTTTTCAATGAACTAGGAGACACTAATAGTATAACTGACTTGCTCTTAGTTTTCCTTTTCCCTTCCCTCCTTTCCCATCTCCCCCATTATAGTTCTCCTTTCCCTTTAAACAATTTCTTCCCGCCTCACAGTATCTATTGTC